TGGCAACAAATTTGCATTGATGATGATCGTCATCAAGTGTCCGGTGATTTATGATAGGCCACTGTACATGTACATGTATTTAACGTTAAGAAATGTTCAAAGAGGACAAGCGAACTAATTCATCAAATGTTATCGTTATTGTTTGAGATCACTCTTTAAATGATATCGATATTCCCACCCAAATTATGTGATCTTCATTGCCGATCATTTTCTTGTGCAACGACAATACAAGTATTTAATTCCGCTAGACCGTTTCTCAACGACGATAAGTTGAACGTTATTATTATCCTTGAAAATAAAAAAATGCAAATTTTTGGTCTTATTTTCATACCAACGACAGATGATGTATCAAAAAACATCGATACACCTGTGCCATTGCAAAATGTTCAAGTTGAAGCGAACGGTATAGCAAATGTTATTTTCGGTGAATTTTTGTGAACATTAATTTACAATTTAATCCCTTGCCTTATTAATACACATAGTTATTGATATGATTGCTGAAGGTAATTGTTTTCTAATTATTTGAAGATTAATTACACATGGAAATATATTCATATTATCATTGGGAAATACATGTACATGTAGTTAAAATCTTACAGACATATAAAAATATCGAAAAATGCACAATCGACGCTACCTACAAATTTCCAATCCACGAAGCGGCAGCTGTTTGCGGCTTTGAAGCTGAACTTGAGGATGGACAAATCATTAAAGGAATTGTTAAAGAATCAGCTCAAGCTGTGAAAGAGTATGAAAAAGCAGTCTCGGTAAATTTAAAATTTATTTTTATGACTTTTGTACTCGTTAATTTATTGTTGAATTTTGTTTTCAAATTGTGAGATAAGCAAGGGCAAGAAGCATATCTTCTCGAAGAGAAACTTCCGGATGTTTTCCAATGCTCTATCGGTAACATATCACCAGGCCAAACAATAATCATCAGAATTACATATGTCACTGAGTTGAAACATGACGCTGAGTCAGAGAAAATTCGTTTCGTATTGCCGACTATTATTTCGCCTCGGTACTCGCCTGGAAATTTTTCCGTAGATGATACAGATACAGAAAAAATAGTAACCGCGGAGAATCCAAGTTATGCTAGTACTGCTATTGCAAAATACACATTAGGGCTTTCAATCACATGCAGAATGACGGATACTATTACAAGCGTAGAGTCGCCTTCTCATTTAATTTCCACGGAATTGAATGTTGGCGGCGATTCTAAAATCTCGAGAATTAGTTTGGCTGAGGAAATTACTTATCTGGAAAAAGACTTTATTTTAGTGGTTAAAAGTAATGGATTGGATGAACCAAGGTACATGTACATGTATATACTTATTTAATTTCTCAATTTTTCTAGAAAAAACTAAATATCATTCCTTTTCATGATACAGAGCATTTATCGAGTATAATCCAAAAACAGAAACAAATGCTATCATGTTGACATTGGTTCCAAATTTTTCGCAGAATGTTGCCAAAATGAGCGAAATGATTTTCGTGGTTGATAGGTATTATTTAGCAGGATATTATTAATGTGATGTGTATTATAACGATTATACGAATATAATTTTCTTAAATAAATCCTAGGTCAGGTTCAATGACTGGTGGTCCAATTCGTAGAGCATCGCAAGCTCTACAATTAATTCTTCATTCACTTCCCGAAAACTGTCTTTTCAACATTATTTCATTTGGAAGTAAATTTGATTCCTTATTTAAAGAAAGTATGCGCTATTCAGAGGAAACATATTCAACAGCATTGTCTCATGTTGAAAACATGCAGGCTAATTATGGCGGAACAGAAATAAAAAATGTTCTCGAATGGGTAATTGGGCATGCTCGTAGTGATATGCCAACTTCTGTTTTCTTATTAACAGATGGTGAAGTATGGAATGTTGACGAAATAATCCAACTGATTCAGAAAGCTGCCAACAATCCAAAGAAAAATTTTCGACTCTTCTCTTTAGGAATTGGATCGAGCGTTTCGCATCATTTAGTAGAGTCAATTGCTCGAGCTGGGAAAGGTTACTCACAATTTGTCACCAATGAAGAACGAATGGATAAAAAAGTTATTGTGATGGTCAAGAATGCTATTAAGAATGCGTTAACTGATTATAAAGTTAAATGGATTGACGACGACGACATGCCAACCTCAGTTATTTCATTTCCTTGGAATTCGTCGGAACAAAATGAAAACAAGTTTTGTCAAGCCCCCAATTCCATTCCCGCTATTTATTCGGGTGTGCGTGTATTAGTTTACGTGTTTTTAGCGAAAAACGTCAAGCCTAAAAATGTGATAACTCTTTCAGCACAATCCCTGGATGGCCCGATTAAGCTTGAAGTTAAAGTAGATCCAGTAACTCTTCAGGGATCGAAAATACATACCTTGGCTGCTCGGAAATTAATTCAGGATTTGGAAGAAGGAACTTCATATCTGCATGTGGATTCCAATAGAAAAGATAAAGTTTCTGATGACCTTGTCAAAGAACAAATTATTAATTTAGGTAAAATCGTTAAATACTTTTATTCTCTTATGTGAAACATACTTATTGATATAATTTTCAGGTATTACTTTCAGTCTTGCATCAAGACATACTAGGTATTTCTTTTTAACTAAAATACTTTTGATTTTCATACGCGTATATTTTTTAAATTAACATTTTTATTAACATTTAGTTTTCTAGCAATTAATGAGAAAACTAATTCAGAAATTGCCAGAAGTGAGACTCTTAAGCAAAAAAGAGTAGTTCCTGCACAACTACAAAGAGGGTTCGGGTCTAGGGCTGGTGCTGCAGTGTTTGGGGCTAGTCCTGTAGGATTTGGTAGTAGGGTTAGATCTGCAAACTTTGAGGCTGGGTTTGTTAATTACAGTAGGACTGCTCCAGTATTACAGAGTATGCCTGCTCCAGTATTACAGGCATCTACCGCTGTTCCAGGAGTGGCTCTATTTGGATCTAGTGAGTTTAGAGCTTATTTAAGCTTTTTTTATTGATTAATCAATGCTCTCATAAATTTTAATCAATTCTGACAGAACCAAAAGTAAAAAGAACAACAAACTCGTTATCTGTAGCGGAAGCGTCAATACCTCAAGACGTATCATCTTTACAAACTCAGAAGCAAGAACTATCACAATCATTTGATATAAAGACACCAACTATTGAAACATTATATGGATTTTTAAAAAATCAATCGTTCGACGGAAAATTCGTTGCAAAAAATTCCAATTTCTCGAGCTTGTTTTCCGGACATGATTCAAAGAAAAATGATGATCTAGTATGGACGACGGCTGTAGCTATGGCTTATTTGGAAATTGTGATGAAGGAATTTAAAGAGGAATGGGAATTATGTTATGAAAAAGCAGAACGCGCATTAGCTAATTTAATCAGTGAAAATGATAAAAATAGCAAAGTTAATATTTTAGCGGAAGCTCGTGAATGGGTAAAAAAGTGGCTTGTAAATGAATGAATGTAACATTTATTACATTCCTTAATTTTTTGTATTAAATATATTGTTATACATGTATTTACGCGTTCTATGAAACCAAAGCGTGTAGTACATGTAACTTATCGTTGTGGCCAAAAATAGAAATTAAAGCTTATGTAACTTGGCCGGTCACCAAAATTTATTTTACATGTGCATGTACTTTTAAATTATGTCACAGTAAAATATTCCTCAAAATAAAAAATCTGGATTCCCACGACTACATACATTTGTTGACTAGGAGCGTAAAGTTTTCGCATGATCAATCCAAATGAATGAGAAAATAAATTTTTGTGAATCATGAAAAAAATTATCAACTCAATGATGCACTAAGCAATTAATGAAGTAACGAACGTATGTTGTCCAACTAATCTTTCAACTTGATTCATTCAGCTTATTATAAAATATCGATTTATATTCAAAAGATCATATGACCTTTTCTCAATTCAAACCCTAACTGAATACGTATTTATATGTATATAACTCGTTTGTTTACTATAATTTAAAGTATTAGGCATTATAAAGAGAACTCAAAGATAGATCAAATATTCATATGAATTCATGTATTGTCAAAAGATAATTGTTACTACGAGTGTTCAATTCACAACACCTTATGATTGTTGTTTATGTCAAAAAAATAAGTGCTGCAATGGAGGGAGGTTTTTGTACACGTATCACAAATGAATTATAACAATGATTTGTCTAACGGAAATAAAGATATCGACAATCTAATAAAAGAATGCAATAAGATACATCTTTTAAATCATTAGAATGGATTTCTTTTGAAAGATTTACCAACATTGAATATTTCTTGCAAAAGAGATTTCGGGTCAATTTATAAAGCAATTTGGTTAGATTATGAACAATGGGATCATAAAAAAACGTTATGATAATAAGTAAATCGTAGTTGTGTTGAACTCATTGCATAATTTGTTTACTTAAGAGTTTATTGTGAGTACCATTTTTAAAGTGGAAGTTGCTTTTGCTTCTAATACATTCAAATTTTTTAAAATTGATTCAAACCGCTCTTAAATTCACTGATGTTAATTATATTGATTATTAAAAACACAGTAATATAAATGAATATTCGAAAAAGTGATGGCTTATGCAAAAGTTTGCACATGTACATGTGACTTTCAGCCTGGAAATAGTGTGACTCAAATTATTTGGAAAAATAAATTTATTATTACTCCGCAATCACCAAACCAATTTTAATAAAAAATACATTTATTTGAAAGTATTTTTGTTAAAAAAAATTTAATAATCAATAGTATTGCCTTTACTCTCTATTACTAGCATACATCTTCGTTTCATCGATTTTACTAAACTCTCTAATGTATCATTTGGAATTAAATTCCATTCCCCCTTCATAAATGATTCTAATTTTTTGGTTTTCTTTTTTCTACGTTTCTTTTGACTATATTCTATAGGTTTTCGATTGTATTTAAATCCGGGCTACAAGATGGCCAATTAATAACTTCGGGGATATTCGATTCAAGGTAAGACTTTGCAAGATGGCTTGTATGTTTTGGATCGTTATCCTGTTGAAACCTTTATTTTCTTCCCAGAAGAGCATTAATAACCTCAATATTATTTTTTAAAATATCTACATAAAATTCGGCATTCATTGTTTTTCTAAAACAAAATAAATCAACTTTACCCGCTTTACAAAACCCACCCACGCAAAAATTTTTCTCCTATCTTTAGGAATTCGACGAACTGATCTTGGACCCTTATGCCACTGACCAATTGTGTTACGGAAGAGTTGGAATGCAGTTTTATCTGTAAAAAAGATCTGTAAAAAAGTTTTGTTCCAATTGTCGTTCATGTGTTTTTTGGCCCACTCCACCCGTGTCTCTTCATGTTGCAAGGTAAGCATTGGCAAAGCTTTGGGGACATCATTTTTATAGTCGTGATCCCACAAATGTCTTAAAACATCTGTTGAGATACTGTTCCACCTAATTCTGCCACCAAACTTCTTGTTAATATAGAAGGGTCTTTTTGGATTTGCCGCCTGATTTTTTGTGACATTTCACGCGAAATTACCTTTGGACGACCCGCCCCTTTTGACTGTGTTACTTTTCCAGTTTTCCCGAGCTTTTTTAGGTGTAATAGATAGTTGACGTTGGTATTTTTGTTGCTGTATGTATTTTTTGGCAGAACGTATGCCCAGTTCCAATAAGATAAGATCATTTTGTCGTTGGTCACGGAAGGTGGTAGCAGCTATTTCAATTTAGAGACTCGTCGTAAAGAGAAGAATTAAAGGATTGAGAATCTGTGGGAAGTTTACTGGATATCTATTCTCCTATTCGTCTATTTTTGTAGTACATTTTTTATTCTAAGTTTGCATGTCCAAATTAATTTTGAATCACCGTATCGATATTAACGTTAATTATGTGTAATTATCATCAAACTGCTGATTTTAATGACTGCACGATAAATGATTTTTAATATACATGTATTAGGAAATTCTCATCACCTTTCTTTAATCAGTTTATTTTATGCAATTATTTGTTCTGTAATAAAGCTAATAAATCAAGTATTCACTAGCTTGATTTAAAGGTGCTAGTATGTGAGTCATAAAATAACATGTAGAAATATCCACCTTGCTTGACGTTCTTGAAGGATGGAATACAAAGAAACGTAGATCAGTTGCTTCAACGTCTAACGAAAAATATCGTTTAAGAAAATGATAAAAACAGAAGAATTTGAAAATTAAATATGTGGAGAAGTTAAACTTACGGTCAATTGTGGTAACGAATACAATATATTACAAAACTTAAAAAAAACTCGATATACTACATGCACAGTATATTTTTACATTATACGAATTACACATTTGGTCTATACTAAAGCACTCTTATTTTATATTTGTATTATTGTTGAGCAAAAAGTGAACCAGAAAGAAGAAATTATTACAATTGATACGAACCCTTGAAAATAGCGTAGAAAAAAAGAATTTCATAATTAGAATACATCAATTATCTAATTTAATAAATTTAGCATTAATAAAGGTTTAAAGCTTAAGCTCAAACTCTAATACAAGATATAAGTCATTTTTATAAGTTATAATCATTAAAATTATCTGAACTTTTAGAACAGCTTGGATCTATTTTTGGATATTTTATTCCACTTGAAAGCTTTTCTTCATTTTGTGCACCTATTCCATTATGTATTGGGACATATACATGAAGTTGTTGACATTTTCTCTGACTTCCAATGCCTATTCCATTTTCATAACAATAGTCGAGATTAGATTGTCCTGCTGAATTCACATATTCTGCAGATTTCAAATACCACTCGAATGCTTTCCCCTCATCTTTTTGTGTACCTATTCCATTTTTATAGAAATAACCGAGAACATATTGTCCTGCTACATTTCCATTTTCTGCTGACTTCAAATACCATTCGAAAGCTTTTTCTTTATCTTTTTGCATGACTATACCATTTTCATAGAAATAACCAATTTTAAATGTTCCATTCCTATTTCCATTTTTTGCAGATTTCAAATACCACTCGAATGCCTTTTCTTCATCTTTTTTTATACATATTCCATTTTCATAGTAATAACCAAGAACATATTGTCCTGCTGCATGTTCATTTTCTGCTAACTTCAAATAACATTCGAAAGCTTTTTCTTCATCTTTTTGTGTGCCTATTCCATTTTCATAGTAATACCCAACTTTAAATTGTCCATTCTTATTTCCATTTTCTGCAGATTTCAAATACCACCCGAATGCTTTTTCTTCATCCTTTTGTGTAATGATTCCATTTTCATAGTAATAACCGAGAACATATTGTCCTGCTACATTTCCATTTTTTGCTGACTTCAAATACCATTCGAACGCTTTCTCTTCATCTTCTTGTGTGCCTATTCCATTTTCATAACAATAACCAACTTTAAATTGCCCATCTTTATTTCCCTTTTCTGCAGATTTCGAGTACCACTTGAATGCTTTTCCTTCATCTTTTTGTGTGCCTATTCCATTTATATAAAAATAACCTAGAATATATTGTCCTGCTGCATTTCCATTTTCTGCTAACTTCAAATGCCATTCGAATGCTTTTTCTTCATCTTTTTGTGTACCAATTCCTTTATTATAGCAATAACCGAGAAGAGCTTGTCCTAATGCATGTCCGTTTTCTACTAATCTCAAATAGCATGCGAATGCTTTTTCTTCATTTTTTCGTGTACCTATTCCATTTTTATAGCAATGACCGAGATTATATTGTCCTATTGCATGTCCTCTCTTTGCTGATTCTAAAAACCATTTAAATGCTATTTTCTCGTCTTTTTGGGTTCCTATGCCATTTTTATAACAATTGCCGAGATTAAATTGTCCATCAGAATTTCCGCCTTCTGCTGATTTCAAATACCATACAAATGCTTTTTTCTCATCTTTTAGAGTTTCTATGCCATTTTCATAATAATAAGCGAGACTATTTTGTCCATCAGGATTTCCACCTTCCGCTGATTTCAAATACCACATAAATGCTTTTTTTTCATCTTTTTGAATTCCTATGCTTTTCTCATAACATTTACCGAGACTATATTGTCCGTTAGGATTTCCACTTTCTGCTGATTTTAAAGACCATTCAAATGCTTTTTCCTCGTTTTTTGGAGTTCCTATACCATCCTTATAACAATTACCGAGATTATTTTGCCCATAAGAATTTCCTTTTGCTGCTGATTTCAAATACCACTCAAATGCCTTTTTCTCATCTTTTCGAGTTCCTATGCCTTCCTTATAACAATTACCGAGATTATTTTGTCCATAAGAATTTCCTTCTTTTGCTGATTTCAAATACCATTCAAATGCTTTTTTCTCGTCTTTCAAAGTTCCTGTGCCTTTCTTATAACAATTACCTAGATTATATTGTCCGCTAGAATTTCCGCCTTCCGCTGATTTCAAATACCAATCAAATGCTTTTTTATCATCTTTTTGAGTTCCTATGCCATTTTTATAACAATGACCGAGAATATG